TTATTGAGATATTTTACATTCCCACCCCATCCTCCCAGTTTATAACTATTAAGATATTTTACATTCCCACCCCACCCTCCCAGTTTATAACTATTAAGATATTTTACATTCCCACCCCATCCTCCCAGTTTATTTTATCTTAAATGAAGCTCAATTACTTTAATACACACAAAACAAAACGACTTTTTCCATTTTGAACTTTAGCAATAATGGCAAATTCTGATACCTCTTCTATACCCTCTAACAAAAGGTTCATGGGAGTAAACACAAAATATTTTGAGGCATTTACAAGGAATTATTCAATGCATGTTCCAATAAGAAAAATCAAAAAATCCAGTACCAATCTGACAAACAAAAAAATGGACAACAAAGTTAAATAGAAGTGTTGTTGCAGATAAAGTTGGTGGTTTAATTCCACTTATTTCTTACATCAGTGGGATCATGTGCAGATAAACATTAAATTATTAGAATTAACCAGATCAAATTATCAATTAAGTATTACCTTAAACTATGTCAACTCTCAATTCATTTACACTACACTAGAACATGTGAGTTTCAGTTCCATTACTCTACAAAAAAATGTTTGATTTGAAGCTTCAGTGCCTGGATAATGTCCAGTTCTAGAATACCTACCCTGCATGGACACTGTCCAGTCTCATCACACTGACACAGTCCATCTGGTGTACATTCTGAGGAAACAGTTCCATCAGCATTACAGTCACAGGGCCGGCACCTAGGAAAGTTGTAGTAGCTATGTCGGCAGCGATCACAGCGACGGCCTTCGTATTCTTTCAGACACGTACACTTCCCTGTGGCTCTGTCACAAGCTGGAGTTTGAACAACAGACCCCTCGACACTACAGTTACATAGCTTTAAAAAATTTAATAAATCAGAAACTGGACTGTGTCACCAGTACTCATTTTAAATAAAAACAAAAGTCATTAACTTTCAACACGAGTAAAGCTTGAAATTAATTTATTATAATTGTTAACTTTTACTCAGACAAACATTTGGAATATCTACAGCAAACCATAAGTTTTATTTAGAAGCATATGACATAAAATGACATCATATGACCCTTGATTCTACAGCTCATGAGAGTAGTTTAAATTTTAAATTCCACCAATTTTTAAAAAGAATTTTTAGTCAATTGTTTATCCACAGAAACTTCATTATTATTAATGTTTTATATATTTATTTATTTCACCACAAAAAAATCAAAACAGCTGTATTCACCAACTTCTCAGAATTCATTGTAGATAACGTTTTTTTTTTTTTAATTTCACGCAAAGCTACACGAAGGTTATATGCGCTAGCCATCCCTAATTTAGCAGTGTAAGACTAGAGGGAAGGCAACTAGTCATCACCACCTACTCTTAGGCTACTCTTTTACCAACAAATAGTGGGATTGACCATCACATTATCACGACCCACAGATTGATAGTCGAGCCCCCTAACCACCTGGCCATGCCAGGCCTGTAGATAATGGTGAAAATGAAATACTTCTACATAATTGACACCAAACATTTATCCAAATTATGTATATTAGTTTATAAGCAGCTTTTAACAGAAAATAAAATAAGAAAATAATTATTGCATATATACATAAGGAAAAAGAATAAGAGCTGAAGCAGTATTACCTTAGTTTATATCTGCCACCACATACAGCACAAACAGATATCACATTCAATCATCTTTCACCAAACCTGCTTCTATATAGAGAATTTTCCTTCCAAGAGATTCCAAAATCCAAGCTTATTCCATTAAACCTCTGAATCAAGTCTAACTAAAACCCCATCATCTAGCCTTAATTATCATCACCATATCACCCAACCTTCGTTTCAATGACTAACCTTCATTTTTTAACAATTTCCAGGATCTTATCATCCATTCATAATTACTATGACCTTTTATACCTTCCAACATTATGACGAGAAGCCAAATTAATTATTGCATTCATTCACCAGGAATCAATCCAAAACTGAATCATGTATACCTTATTAATTTTGTTATCCTACACACAGAAATTTGTAGTAATATATTCACTAAATTGTTATTTCAGTATTCAAATATAAAAAATAAACAGTGAATAATTTAAAATACCACACACCTTGCACCCATAAACAGGGTTGTAACCCCACGCACCAGAATCACAGAACTGACACTTGTCACCAATAGTGTTAGGAGGACACACGCATCTCCCATTTTGAGGGTCACATATATGTCCAGGTAAAAAGCATGGATCACATTCTGAAAAAAAAAGCAATTATTCTAAAGTTTAGACAAATTTCTATGTTCATTGGGAAGACTGGATTTATAGCCACAAAGTATTAAAAATGTACATAGACTACACAGAAGACTTGGACAAAACAGAGTATTAGCTATTACACAATGAAAGCTTGAGTGCCCAATGCTCTCAGACACCTCCTAAAGTGATCATACATCAAATTGCTTTCATTATATAGTTTATAGTTTTATATATGAATGTATGTAGACTATAGTTATGCATTACGAGGTTATGTCGTATAGCACGTTCTTCTTCATTGATAGCTACGATTATATGTTAAACTTACTGTGACAACGAGAAACCACTTTGCTGGCACAAGAAGCTTTAAAACTAAGATAAATACTATTACTTTTGTTTCGTTAACTCTTTCACTATGAGGTCACTACATTATTTGTATCTTCCCAGAATTTCGCTGACTTTTAGTAAACATTACAAGTCTTTTGTACACAAAAAATAAGACTTATTCAAGTATTTTTACTAAAAACGTCTGTGAATATATATATATATATACTCTTTTTTTAACTATTCTGAGTGCAAATTGATTTCCATGTTAATATCAAAAATACTTTTCTTCATCCCAAAAATCTCAAATTTCATTTGCATAATCTCTAAAACCTCCTAAGTACATTTGAAACATTTATTTTTAGTAAACCTTTATATTTTATCTATTATTTTCTCCCCACCCTAACTCTACAAGGTTGGTCAATATGACCAACCTTGTAATCACCAAAAAAAGAATCTAAATAAATCTAAATTACCCTTTTCCTATTTCTAGAATGGCTTCAAATTGTAACATGAAACTACATTTCTTTATCCTAAATAGCTTTATCTGTAACAGTATACATCTATTTATACTTAAATTTTATTGTTTTATTGTCATTTGAACTGTGTCTAACTACTATTTGTGCTATTATAAGTTGTAAATCACTTGGCAAATGTGCAGCTCATGTTATGCTATTGAATTACATTATGCATGAGCTACTCACGAGCATACCCCATGAAAATTTTTTATTATGCTATTATTATTATTATTTATTTTACCTTATCTGACCTTAACTAACCTAAAAGTTTCCTATTTTTACATTTTAGTTCCTTTCTTAATAATAAACAAAAGAATACATATGCAAAACAAGAAATAAAGTACTTACCTGGGACTTTTTTTCTTTACTGTCGACTGTCAAAGACACTTAACCCTACTTTTTTTATACTAATGGATGTAGTGCACTAAATAATTTGTATTTAATTTAATAATGCACCAAAGAACACAGAATAATAACATGCAAAAAGCACACAACTATCAAAATTTTTCTGGCTTTCTAACTATGCAAAAAGAGCTGTTACAAATTCATCTAGTCAACGTGTTTCCTGTGGGAATAAAGCTTGTACTGAAAGTGAAATTGACAATTATCTGTACAAAAAACAACGTAATATAATATGCCATTTGGTTATAAATAATATAGTATTTAATGTCAGAGAAAACTATTGGCAATTTAAGAAAGAGAGGAAGTGAAAGGTGGGTGTGGCAAGAGGAGTCTGATTTTCTATTTAATGGCTCTGTACCCACATAAGATTGAAGGCTATGAAAATTATGCTTTTCCTGAGCAATAACAACATTAAAATGAGTAATTTACACTAAATTTCGAACATCTTGGAGGGATGGTAAATAAATTAGAGAAGAGGATATGCCTAGAGAGAAAATGTCAATTCTCACACTAGGGGAAATTCGTGATTTTTTTAAATGTTTATTTGAAGTTAAGCACAAAGCTACACAATGGGTTATCTGTGCTATACCCACCACAGGTATTGAAACCCGGTTTCTAGCATGATAAGTCTGCAGACATACCGCTGTGCCATTGGGGAGCATTTTTTTTTAATACTGCCTTATAACATTAAGAACTTAAAACTTATATACTATTAAAATATGGATTGTTAGCTAAATTTTTAAGCTATAACTTATTGGTATACCTTGAAAAGAAAGTAGTTTAATTAAATTTTGAATGTAACTCACTAAAAATTCATGACATATATAGGAAAAAGATGTCCATGGATAGAGGGTTAACCTTTTGCAGACGGGTCATGGGAGAAAGGGTCATCGCGTTTGTTAACTTGCATTGAAAATTTTATTGAACTACTATTTTATGAATTTATGATAATAAGTTTGGTATCAAACTGTAGAATATAATTCAAATTTTAGTTCTATACATTATTCAATTTCTTAATTTAAAATTAAATATTAAAAAGACACAGTTAAACATCAATTTGTATGTGTCACATGGTATGTTGAATGCAGAACTAGCTCAAATTAGATGTTTGTGACGTTGAAATACCAAGTCTATAGTTTTGTACAAATTATAAATTCAAATTACTGATATTGACAAGCTATAATATAAAATAAGAACCTCTTATCTTTTATATTTGCTAAGATATTGTTCATGCAATAAATCAAACACAGTAAACCCTACCCACCTCTTTCAATTTTTGGAAAAGCTTCCTTATATACACTTACTTCTATATACGACAGGAATAACTAATCGAAAGCTCAGAACGTCCCCCTAGTGGCTTTCTTAGGCATTTTAAATTATTAGGACGCCATCTCAAAGAGGTAAGTTGTGTCTTTAATCTGCTCGAAATTTCATATTTTTTTAGACTGAAATACATCTTAGTTACTAAGCTTGATAAACTATAGTGGAATTCTATGGTATTGATGTAGTAATCTATGATTTTTTAGTTATTCAACTGAATATATAAAACCTAAAAAAAATATATTTTATTTCATATCCTCCAAGTGCAAAATTTTAAAAGGCTTAGCAACATACATCAAGCAGCAACTGAGTACAAAGGTCATAACTAGAAGAAATAATTGTTTGCTTTACTTTATTTACTGTTTTATGTTTTAATAAAAATAAGCTTAAGAACTTTTTTCTACATAACAATAATCTTTATACATATATAATGTATAACAATTGAAATGTGACTGTATTTTACAAAATGCTAGTCTACTAAAACACAGC